ACCGATTTCATTTTAGATAAGGCTTAAGAGATTGACTTTCACGTCGAAGAGTTCGAGGGTTCGTTGCTATCCGTCACGGGAGCTTCGCCATCACTCCGTTAGGCCTCGCAGACTTTCGGATGTCGGTAAACGACGACGACGCCGACGACGAGCCGCCCTCGGAAAGTCGTTTAGCGGTTCGCAGAAAATATTAGACAAGTGATCCGTTCGACTCGGATCACGATAGACCGCGATTTCCCTTTCCTTTGCGCCACGCCCGCAGAGCCCGATTTCTCGCGCGGAGGAATTATTCGCACGAGGAAAGTGTATATTCTCGATCGAAATTGTCAATCGATGAACTGGCTTGCATCTGTTCGTGAAACGATCGCGCACACGCGTACCGATTGGAAAACGAATCGAAAGCAACTTGCCGCGGTCGTGTTCACGCTCCTTCTGCTCGAAACGCCAACACCTCGAAAATACCGCTCGGCTGACATTTTTGCCGTGGACACGGTCGTTCCGCGATTAAACCACTCCAATAGGAATCGTTACGAACTTTCTCCCCATATACCGTTATTTAAATTCGCGCGAGTTCGCGTCGACGGCAACTTGTCGCTCGTGAATCACAATCAACGACCGAGAACCGGGATCCCTATCTTTTTATTCTGGGTCCTGCAGGCTCTGGATCCGCTGCCAGGGATGACACCGACGGTCGAAGAGCAACGTCAGGTGGGTACAGGTTACCTGATCACGATGAACGCGCGCGTAAAGTTTACGTGAACGAACAACCGATGATTTTACGATCCAAAGTCGGAACGACGCGAAATCACCGACAAGGGGAGGAGCAGGGCCTGTCCACGGAATCTCTGATTGATCTGAACCTTATCGAACTCCTAAAGACATTAAGTAATGGGACGATAACAAAAAGATTGTCAAAATTATTGACTCCCTTTCCGTACCGATTTGAGAAACTGCGAGCACCGTATGAAAAATCCAATGCCTCCCAAACGGATACGGTTTATCTTCCGGCAAGATTGACGAACGAGGAAAAGACGAAACGAACAGGGAGAGCTACAAGCACTCGCCGGTTACGAACGAAGGCGCGTTAATTATCGCTGGCGGAAGATCGTCGGTTAACCCCGGCGAGGAAAAATTGAAATTACTGCCACGAGACGACGGGTATGCCGAGAACGAGGCGCATCGGCCGCGTAGGCTGGCGACGATAATGGTAATCGAGGGAAAGCAGCAATTAAAACGTTACCAGACCCGCGACGTTTTCGCCACCTGTTTTAATTTTTCCAGTTTCCCGTCGTAACCTCTAAGCCCAGAGCTAGATCGCGCTTTCCACGGTACCGACCCCTCGTTCTCGACTCCACTTCGCGCGAATTTTCCATTTGCGTAGCGAGCAACTTATAAAAATTCGTAATTATGGGCTTATTAACGACTTAGAAAATCTCGTGGATTAACGAGCGCGCGTCTCAAGAGGCAACAAGCGAGCGCGCGCTCGCGCGCGCGTCTACACGACAGCCCTCCTCCTGCGTTCTTTCGTCTCGCCGATCCCGACGAGTTGCCACTCCGCCTCTCCAGCTTCCGCCTCGCACACGCCTCCTTCTCGACCCTTTAGACCACGATCTAACCACCGAGAGAGGAACACGAAAAGAGTGCCGCCGTGGTTCAACGAGATGGAGGAGGCTCGAAGGACGGCGGGGGTCTCGCGATCTGTGGTGACGTCGCGATCTTTGGATGCACGTGGAAATGTTGGGAAACGTGTCCGTGGATACACCACAACCCTGCCCGTTAACGAAGGAAAACTAGGATCGAGCAAGAAATGGGCGGCCTCGCAGAGCTACCTCTAGCAACACCCTTCCAAGGGAGTAAGGGAGTTGGAGGGAATTGAAGTACCTTGCAATTCGGTAAACCGAGAGCGAAAGGGAGATTTTTCTTCGTTTACAGGTAATTTCATTCGGTAACCCTCGAACCGTGATCTAGCGTTTCTCCTTCCACTCCCTTTTTTTCACCTCCGTACGCATCGTCTTCCGTCTCGGCCCGGAAAGATTGCTTGAAACGAGCGTTGCTTACCGGTGCGAGAAATGAAAAATTCACGGGATCGAAGAATCTCGTCGGAGAACTCGGTATACACGTCGAACGATCCGGTTTTACTGAGGCCGTCTGTCCCTTCAACACGAGCCACTTGCACCGTGACAGCACGACGCGATAATCGAGCGCGAGCATCACCGCGAGGGAACACGAACCTGCCAACGGTGGTGTTCGTTTAAAACCGGAGAACATCTGCGCGTGTGTATGTGTGTTGCACAAGAGAACATATAATATATTGAAATTCGATGCTCGAGTGACCGTGGAATCTATCGCTGGCGCGACGAATCCGCTCTAAAGAAAGGGTATCCGAGGCACGCTGCACTCCTGACCTTTCGAGAGTGTTGCGCAAGCGAAATTGTGGGCCGTCTCGCGTACTTTCGACGCGGTTGCATCGCGGAATCGGACCGGACGGAACAGGAAGGCGAAAAATCACCCGATTACGATGTTTTCTGAGCTAATCGAACTTAGAACGATCTAATCAATTGATCGAAACGATGATATCGCGGTAGCCGGCTCCAAATCCGACCACCAAAACTTTCTCCGTCCGCGCGTGTTTAAACTCGCTCTATCCCCCACCAGAGCCGGGGAAGAACGCGTCTTTCGCCGTTTCCCCGTTTTTGCATCGACGTCGAGCGCGAAAGTGCTCTTGATACGAGACGCGACTCCTAACGCGTGAAGGCAGGTCTTGAAAACAGGTCTACCCGGCTCCTGTTTTTCTCTTTCTTCTCTCCTTCCGTTTCCCTCGGCTTCGTCGCGGTGCACGGCTCTTTTAACGCGATCGCGACTAGAACCTCGATCGAGCCCTCCGTTCCGCGAAAATTTTCCCCAATTCTCTACGGTGACGGACTCTTCGAAATCTCGACGGTTGCCACGCGACAAACGCGCAATCTCCTCGGCTCTGTTCAATGGTGTACCGTTACCGCGTATCGATCCGAACCGATCGAATTACGGGAACAGAGGTCTTAGCTTCTCGGTCGGTGTCCTCGGATGTACGCGCGGTTAGCGATGGAACGAAAGAACCGAAGAGAACCGAGAATACGACCAGAAAAGGTTGTGGCTCTTTATTCGGAGTACAGTAAATCATCGATGAGAGTCCGAAGGCTTCTCGGCGCTGAGTGTTCCCGACGATATCCCCACCACTGAGATGGTGTCCCCAGTGGAGGGGATGTCTGACGTCTGAACGCTCGGGGCCTGGAGCTATCGAACACTCATGAATGATTTACCGTAGTCTGTTTCCGAACAACGGAAACCGAAATCCAGGTGTATGTACACTGAATCCACAGACAAACTCTGACGCACCGGTACGCCAGTTTCCCATTTTCACGAGAGATTTTCCTCGAGCAGGCGTCAATTATCACAAGAAGTTGTCAAGGTCCACGGGCGACAGGGAACGTTCGTGAACGACAACTGAAAACACGACGAGAGAACAATCGGGATAGAGAGCCGCATCGCGTGCTCGCGCCATGCTAGATATGTACCACTTTTAGGCCCCCGTTCTCAGCGGGTAAAAGTATCTCTCGCGGTGTTGTCGCACGATCCGCGACACGAATAGGTCGCTCCGCGGTAATTACCCTTTAATCGCGCCGCGTCTCGGTCCGATAACCTCCGTCGCGATGATAGTTTCGTTTTAATAGCTCCGTGTCCTTGGAGAGAACTTCGTCGTGCCTCCATCATCCTTCGAACGGATCTAATTTTCGACCCGATTTCCGATTCCGGCCGACTCTTTACGGAACGCATCGCCGAGATCGTGTAAATCGTCTACACGAGTGTGTACAGAATTTATCCTGGAAACGGAGAGCATCGACGTCGCGAAACTTTGCCAAGGATGCCAGGAATGTGGGACAAGGAAAACCTTGCGCCTTGGCTTCGATGCGTTTCACAGTACGCTCGAAATTGCGAGGCATCGAGCGTTTCGCCGTAACTGGAACTCTTATGCGACGCGACGCCTCGACGAAACCATCTCGTACATTCAAGTTTTTCCTCGAAAACGACACTCTCGAGACACACACGGTTGCACAAGAATTCGCCACCTTCGAAAGTACTCCGCCCTCTGTCTTGGACTAGCCGACGCGTGTGTTGATTCGGTAACCGTGGTGGTCCCCGTGAGATCTGCATTCGTTGAATATACAACGATCGACTTGATCTCGGAATTACTCCACGCGTATATGTATAGGTGCCTTTTGGCTTTTCTCGAGACGGTGAAAAAAGAAGGGGCATGGTTCTAGGTTGAAATTACCGTGAATCGTACGTAAATGTTACGGTAGCAGAAGGTAACTTACGGACTGACGGTCCTGAAACGATCGTATGACCCGTGGTATCTCGTTAGCGGAGACACGCTAGATCGTTCGCACCAGCATGAGCGCGCCCGTTTGTCGTCCGAACGCGTAACATTCCACGCGGACGGGACTCGTTTACGCGTTTCGCAACTCGAGCTCTTCTTCGGATGCAAAACCGCGCGAGCGATTGGCCAACCCATGAATTGCGGAAGGTCTTAAACACATATTCGAGACCCGATACTTTGCATGAGATTAGCCTCTAATAGAAAGTTCTCGGGAACTGAGAACCCCCCGGGTTCGTCGGTGTTCTCCGTTCGAGGACGTATATTCGTATTCAAGTTCCTTACCGATAAGAAACATCTGAAACGATAACGAAGTTGCCAAATACATCGAATTATCAGAAAAGGTTGCGTCCCGTCCGTTTCTAACGGACTGTCGTGTAAATTGCACATGATCGAGGCGTATTTCTCTTTCAGCTATCGCGATGAAGAAAGCGGAAGCGAACGTTGCGGAGGACGGCCGCGTTTCCTGCAAGGACACTGCGCAACTATAGATTTTCACGGTGGCCCGAGATACATGCGGAACAGAACGAACCGAAGAAAATAGACCGAAACAACGAGAGGACGGGGTCAGGCAGTTTTCACTCACCGTGTAGCTGTGCGAGGGACTGCAAGGTGCTGGCATTGCAGTTTATGTATCCTGAAACAGAAAAGCAATAATTCGATTAGAAAAAAAAAGTCGTTTCGTTGGACAAACGCGGAGAGGTGCGTTCGCCGTGGCGAGTCGCGTAATCTTCCGTTCCGAAATTTCATCACCGATCGTCGTGTTGATGCCGCGTGAAAGCGGCCTCCGTTGCTCTTGCCGAGATCCAACGGGGATACACACACGCTCGAAAAATCTCATCTCATCCGTTCTAGAGAAGATGGAAATTCGTTCCGTTGCACCTAGGCTCGGTAGAGGACTCATCCGAATTTTCTCGGATAAATCGATTAACCGATTTTGTTTCCTCGTGGTAACGCGACCAGGGAACGCGAGGTTAGGCTCGGTCGTATCGCGTAGCAGGGGCGTGAAGCTGAACAAACGTAGAATGGAAATGAAAAAGAACGAGCACACGCACACAAACGCGTACAAACACACGCAGCTCGCGTGCCGTTCTCAGAGATCACGTTGCGCGGTGGTGTCGCAAGTATTGGCTCGAAAGCCCGCCACCGGATATGTGGGTCAAACGCGGTTTCACAGTTTCGAAAAAGTCTGTGTTTTATCGTAATGGAAACGAGCCGGCTACCGAGTACAAAATAGCGAGCAGGCGCGGGTTGCCACGGAGCATGTGTATTATATGTAGTTGTCGCGAGATCGGTAAGTATCTATGTATGAAGAATAGGTAGTGTTCTGTTTGAAGCGAACGGTTACTGTCACCGGTGTTCGGGGATATTATCGCGTTGCATCCTCGTAGCGTCGCTCAAACACCTGTAGACATAGCGGGCGCGTGTACAAGACACATACCCGACAACTAGGTAACCTTTAGTCCCGAGTCTCGTTCGGACGCGGAACTGGCTGGCTTTTAACTTTCCAGCGAGCTCGATTGCGCCATCGACGGAGCTGCTCCTCCGTCCATGCGGACGTCTTTCTACACGCCCTTCCGTTTACCACACGGTGACGCGCGCGATTTCACCGCGTGGAAATTAACATTCTTGCCTGCATGGAATATAGGTAGGTATGTTGGACGCGAGGCGTACCAATGTCAACGGTTCGGTCGACGATCGAGAACTTGGAGCTACCGTGCGGAGACACGATCCTGACCCAGCGAACGGTTAAAAAGTTTGCGAATATAAGAAACGTTGCTCGTGACTAATCTCTCTCTCTCTCCCGTACCGTTAAGGTAATACCGGTGACCGAGCAATGCTAGCAGAAGAGAAACGTCGCGACCGAAAGGAAGGGGACACTCCCTCGGACAAAGATGGCTAGGCGGAGACCCGGTCGTCGCGAGGCAATCGCGTTTTCGCGATTTTACTTTTCCGCAAAGTGTCGCGTGTTCGATCTCTCGCTTTGAAGATCGAATAGACGCGGCCGAGTTCGCTGCGATGTCGCGCGTCTCGTCGCGTCTCCTCCTTTTCATCGGCGATAACCGAATAACGGAACGCGAGAGCTCGAGTTCGTTGCTCCGATTTCTATCTCGACCTACCCCACGTTTATCCATCGTCTTCTAAGGTGTTCATGCCTGCCTCGAGACGACTATCCTTTAGCCAGAGGATCGATCGAGTAGAAACCACCTAAAACGTGGACCACCGTAGGTTTAATTACCTAAGCTACGACGGACGCTAGCTAGATATGACTTTCTCGGGAAACGCATCATCTGCTCGGGAGGAGAAAGCGATATTCCATCTTATTGCGTCGCGGCGCAAGTTCAATTTTTTTGTTTTTTTCGACGGGCACCACCTTCGAAAAGTTTCGAAAATAGCCCGGTCGCGTGCTGTTCTCTCTCTTCTCGCTCTCACGAAATTTCTGCTCGGCAGAGAATCTCGAATTTCGATACTCGAGAACCGAATATCGTTCCAACGAACTTCCATTTCGTCGCTTCGTTTCCTACGGCTGTCGTCACGCACCGCTGATATTTCAGAAACAAAATGTTCGTTTCGACCGAATGACTCGCGTTTCTTCCCCGTGAAACGCCGAGAGTCGCAGAATCACAAAAGATTTGACTTTTTGCCAAACGAGCCTGTCTGTTCGCCTGCACCGCGGGTACGCCGATTCGAAGAAATTCTCAGGCATTTCTATCCCATGCTTGGACGTCTGCAACTTATTTATTTAATATCATCTTTATTAATACAGATGATGAGGATAAATGGGGATAAAGTCCCCATTAGTGTAGAAAGGTATCAATGGTGAAATAGTTACGTGAAAAAATAACATATAGTATAATCCAAGTTCCACGAGGTGGGTTCGAGCGACGACCTTTCGATTCCGCGATCGTTTGGATGGTTCGAAGGAAAACTTGGGAGGATATAACCCTTTCTCTGTTCCTCCATAGATCTCTCTCCATCTCTCTCTCTCTGTATTTCTCGGCCCCTCCCCAGCGGAGAAATTCGTTCCGCTCGCAAAGACGCGTCTTTCGTCGTCTTAGAGCTCAAACACGACGATAACTAGAATGATGATCCGCTGCTTGAATCGTGGCGAGCGCCGCGCGCGACGAGGCGCGTTCCTTCGTCTATCTGTCCGGTCGAACCGAATACCGGTATCCCTGTGTCGTCCAAGTTCTGCGACTCTCGCAAGACGGATACTTGCGTCGCGTTAAGAATTCAAATTAACGAGAATCGTTGACGATAATACTTAACCTTTTCCTTCGTCGCAGCCGTTGACATTTAAATACTAACGTTTCACCAAGCCGCAACAGCGGTGTATACAATAAAATCATCCGCGTAAGAGGAAAAAGCCATCGCGTAACTAGAGGTTCGTTGACTACTTCTTACTAGTTCTTCCATCAGTGTTCCACGAATCTTCCAGAATATTGTTACAATTTCTGGCGAGATATTCAAGAGGAGGAAACACAAAGGTTCGCGTCTCGACGAGAGTTTTGCGACTGCTTCGAAACAGCCCACGGTGTCGAATCGCTTTAAACGGCGAGAAAGGTGTTCCCCAGGTTTGCGATAATCTCGGCGAACATCGTACATCGCGTACAACATCGCGATGACGAACGACTCGTTGTCGACGAGCCGCGCGTCGACGAGACACGTGTTAACCGAGGCTCTGGCCGTAAGTATCCTCGCCTCCCCGTTGTTCACGATTCCGGTGTTTCGTCAAGCTTCTGAGCGTACAGGTTCTAGTCTCCGGCTCTGCTCGTAAATCGGAACGAGCGTTACGTAATTTACGCGTCGTCGAGAGTCCGTGTAACCACGACAGCTGGCCAGGCTGTCGCGAGGATCGGCTTATCGATCGTCGACAGATGATCGATTCCTGAGGATGAAACGGGGGGCGCGTCGACGCGGTCTATTTCACGCGAAACTACGGAATAAGCACTTTTCGTTCAATCTCTTCGCGACTTTCGTTCCTGCGTTCCGCTCCGCTAAAACTTCGAGCGATTCGCCGCGTCTCTTAGAAAACCTATCGAAGCTCGTTCACGCTCGAGTCGCAAATGGAAATGTATCCGTTGCGAATTAGTTCGACTTTCCTTTACGCTCGAATGGCTCGTCGGCGAACCGAACGAACGAACCAACGAACGACTGTACCGATCCGTGTATAGGTACCTAAAAAGTACTACGCTCCCAACCGAGTCCAGTCTCCAATCGTCCACGAAAGAAATACCGTCCGTTATTTATCCGTCGTTACTTTCCCTAAATGTTGTTCGCTTTGTCTATAATCGGAACGAAAGAGAGTGAGAGAGAGAGAGAGAGAGAGAGAGAGAGAGAGAGAGGGGGAAACGCATCTTTGACGATCGAAAGTCGAGCAATTTACACGGAATCGGTACCTCGAGCAAGCAGGCCACGAGGCCCAGGACTATTTAGACAGTTCCGAGCAAGTTTCCAATCATATGTAGGTATGTATATCGAAAGCAGTGAACTTCCGCGACTGGTCCGGTTCGCTGAATAAATACTCGTACATGGCGACCGCGGTGACGGGTTTCCCGACGACAGTCTCCGGCAGAGTAATCGCCCGATGCACCGGATCGACCCGACAACGTCGACCAGCACCTCGCTTCTCTCTTGTTCGCGAGTTGTATAATCGCGACGCGACAGATCGAATGGAACACCGAGCGAAGGTCGACCGCATCGTCTGCTCGTGCGCGTTACGTACCTTCGCCGATACCTACGAGTCGTATAGGTACGCGTGTATACCGTCCATGCAACCTTGTCATAGTTGCATCGAGTCGACATCGCGCTCGCGGTGATGGTTTTTTTTTTCGCTGTGACACCGGTAAAAGACGAGGCGTACACGACACACGCCAGGATCTTTTTGTCGAGCAACGAACGAATCAACGTTTCCACGGTGAAAGCGTTAGATAACGCATCACCTGATCGGCTGGACCAGGTTGAACGTTGGCCGCATTATGAAGCGACCTTATTCTCCTACTGGGTCTCTTTCCGAATAAATACGCGAGTAAAACGATCGGGGGACCTTTTCGATCAACTTTTTCCATCGCAATCTCCTCTCTCCGAACCGCTCCCCCTCCCCCTCGCCCCACGAATCGTTGAATTCCGTCCCGTGTGTTTTGCAACGGACACACCAAGTTGCGACACTCCGTTACGCGTCGCTTTCTTCGATTCCCGGCCGTGGCGCAGGTTCAAAAGGCTCAAGACACCCGGTACAGGCTCTCGGCCTATTCAATTAGGCAGGCATCGGTGACATAACGCGAGCTACGATACGGATGTGCATATTAACCCATTTAGCTCCGTTACGCACGGACAATGCATGATACGCGTCGCGACCGGGCGGGCGGACAGGCAGCCGCGACCGGTGCAACCGGTCTGGTTCGTCCGGGTTGTTCGTTGGAATAGACACGGAAGAAGGTGTACACGCGAATCGAATCGTTCGCATCCACGAGCACGAACAAACGATTGACCATGGAATGAGAAACGTACACCTACCCGACATACACCGAGATAACAAAGTTGCGTGTCAGCGATCGTTCGACCACCGGAAAATAAAGTTTAAAAATACTCTCGTTCGAATCGGTCGCCAAACTCGACGATCCTCTTCGGTAGTTG